GTAACACTGCCGACTCTTGTAACTGAGCTACCTTCAGCACCACACAGATCACAAAATAACTCACTGCCTCAGTCCAGGAATATATCCCCAATGTTGAATATTTGAGAATGAGTGCAAAAGTGAACCAAGTAAAACATAAATAACTCCGGGAAATGTAATTAGAAAGGTGTTGGATAGGCCTGAGACGATAAAAATTAAATGCTTCAGTGATATATGAGGAAAATTCCTTAAAATATATGACAATGAGATAAATGCAAATACTGAACACTGATATGTCAAAGAAGTTTAAATAGTGAGTATGGGGACATGCAAGAGGGGTAATTGCACAAAAATCTTTAGTAATAAGTAAAATTCCTTGTGTGTTAAGGGAGTTTTGCATGATCCACCCAAAATAGATGGTATATAGTGTAAGACATCAAGAAAGAATCATCCTGATAAATTAAAAAAAATTCATACTTCCTCGAGTGTAACTTGTGGATGAAGGTCAGTTAGTATTGGGTCATCTTGTAAAAGTTGACTGAGGGCACCCTGAAAAAATTTCTTCAATTCAGCATGAGAGAGTGTCTTCAATTCTGATTCATCATTAACATCCATCTCTGTCTCTTCACTTTCCTTGAAGTCTTTGGCTGTATCTCCTAAGATGGATTTTGTTTCTTCCTGTTGCAAAGTCATCATGTGTCTATGTTCAGGTTGCATGTCCATTGTAGACTGCATTATGATAAAAATTGATGTATAGCAAGCTTAGTATTCAACTTTCAATTTTCTGAAACACACGGAGTAAAAGAGTTAAATAAATCTTTGTGATCCAAAAAAATTTTAAATACGAAGTTGAAGGAAGTGGTAAGTTTGTTATGAACTTCAAACACCTCCTTTCAATTTCTTTAAATGACTTTGGGTTGATTTACTGGGTTTTATTGTTACTGGAGAAAGGGAGGGGAGATGAAATGAGCAGAGAGACGGAGGAGAACGGTGAGTCAGTTGTGAGGTATCGAATGAAAGAGTGAGGGTAAGGTGGCCAAATCAAAGTATTTTAACTTGTTCTTTTAAGTTAATTTAAGTGAAATGTGTAGGTTATCTATTACAGTATACTGTAATTCCTTTTATCCAAACTCGTCGGGATGTGCCTACAAGAATATGCTATAATTAACATTAGGTCAAAATTTGGTTCAGCGATAGCATGACTCACTGGTCATCATTATATGTCCCCTTCAAGGCTAAGGAACTCTTGAAGGTGGAGTGGAGATGTCACTCTGACTTCTTCACAGCCTCTGGGGAGTCTCATGCTGCTTCACAATGTCAAGCTTCACCTCCATAGACATGTTTCTCCTAGGTGCCTTGGCCTTCCCAGGCATTTTCAAAGTTACATTGCTCACTTCAGTCACAAAAACATGATAATAATGATAAGGACTCAATTCTTTTATGAAAATAACATAAGAAATGTTGTGATGGAGGTATGGTAAGGGATTAGTGGGTCATGCTACTGATCAGTGTCAGGTGGGGTGAAGGGTTAGTGGTCTCATGCATGTCAGATCACCCATTGTTAGGGTGGGGGATTAGAGGGTCGCATAACCTGAAGATGTCTTGAATAAATACAAAAGCTATGTAGCAAATATATTTAAGGTTAGCAAAAATTTTTATGAACTTTTATTCACAACATCTGCCTAATTGTTAGAGCAGTGGTCCCCAACCTTTTGTAGGCTCTGGGCAACATTTATTGTAAATATAGTGGAGGGCACCAAAACTTTGGATCACATTCAAGAAAAAAATAATATTCACATATACAGTACAGTTACTGTATTTGCAGTTCTACACACCTAACTGTTACCAGTTACATACTTTTTATATTTACTCTTGAACAGGACATGTTTTTTTACCCCAATGAGAAGGCTGGCGCTCTCTGTGGGCCTGGTCTGGGGTAAATACACATGTCCTGTACACGACAGACTCGGGACAAATGCGCAGTTCCTCTCTCTCTCTCTCTCTCTCTCTCTCTCAAAAACTATAAAGTTGTATCAGGTTATTACATACTATTTTCATTCATTTCACTCTTACAAAGAATCCCAAATAATTCACTAATTTTCTAAAAACCTTTGCAAGCTCCATAATATGGTTCTGTGGGCCCTGGCACCAGCGAACTACAGTTTGGGGACCACTGCACTCATTTCTCTAACAGTTAGACAAATGAGTGAGAGGCAGCAGTGGGTGGAAACGAGGGAGGGACCCAAGAATGCGGTCAATTGTGGGGGCAAGGGTTGGGTCTGTCCCCTCCCTCCCTCACCACCACCACCTAATCTTAATGAACAGCATCTGTTCTAATTGTGTTAAGAGAGAAACGCGTAAAGTGAACAACATAACATATGGGATTAATTGAAATAGAGACCGGGCCGACCCCCAAACTCCACTTTTTCAGACACAATACGTACGTTGTAGTAAAAATAACTTCTTAATTTTATGATGGTATGCACACACAATTAATAATTAAGAGAAATATCAATAATATATTAGGTTTTTTAACACTTACATTAGTAGAAAAGATGGCTGGGCACATGGGGATGGGGGGTTGGTTCCGAGGCAGAGGGCAGATTATTGGCCCTCACTTGTATCACTTGTATCAATTGTATCACTATCCACCACAGAGGCTTGCAGGGCCTCTTTGTCAAACCCCTCAAAGTCCATATAAGTCCATATCCTCACTATCATTATCACTATCACTGACTTGGACCGGCTGTGGTGGATGGCGGGTGAAGAACTCGGTAATGTTTTGATGACTGGGCGACCTTGTGCGCACCCTGCTCGCGCCGCTTACACAACATGGCGGATGGCGGGAGGTTTGGATCCAAAAATGGCGCGGTTCGCCAGCCGCTCTCCGCGTAAAGGGGTACACGCACCGCGGAATGTGAGCATTCCGGTTTCGGCAGGGTACCGCATAAACGTTGAAACGCGGAATGTGGGACCGCGTAAAGCGAGGGTTGACTGTACATATATTCTTATGGGAAAATTATGTTTAATTTACATTTTTTTTTTTTAATTTAGCGGTGGTTTTCAAGAAAGTAATCACCGCGTAAAACGAGAGGTGGTTGTACTCTAATGAGGCTTAGAAATAAAGAAAATATAAAATAAAATTAAAAATCAGAAAAATGAATAGCATGTGTGTATGTGAGGAAAGTGAATATATGCATGGACTGATGGAAGCAATAGGCTGTAACTGCGTTGCTAATTCACCAGTCGTCACCCACCCAGCCAGCACTCCATTCTCCTTGTGTGACATCACGGTATACACACACACCCAGAAATGGGGTCTATTACTGGGTTTTTATTACTTTTAATTTTGTTTTATTATATTATTATTATTAATACTTTAGTTTTTTTTTGGGGGGGGGGTGGAGGGCGGAATTAGCCCACCCGGGCACAGGTCAAACGACTCACAACGGAGCCTGGGGTCGAAAATAAAAAGAACGGAAAGAAATTGTAAATATAGAAAAAAAAGGTTATACTGTATCAATCTACACCACGAAGATGCCGGAAAACCAGCTTTTTAAAGTGAGACAGATTGTAAGAGCATGGAAACACAGAAGAAGGTAGAGCATTCCACAGTTTGGCTGTGTGAGGAAAGAAGGAGGTACTATAACGGGTTATTCTCGTGTGACTGACATCCACAGAGAAACGGTGGGCACCGCGGGCAAGACGTGTGTTACGAACCCACGGCCTTGCCGGTGGTACACAGGATGTCAAATCCACCGAACATTGCCCATTAAAGTACCTGTAAAAGAGAGAGTGAAGCAACATTGCGGCGAAGAGAAAGGGAAGAGAGATTGTCGACTAAAGGAGGAGAGTTAATAAGACGAAATGCCTTTGATTCCACCCTATCTAATAGCTGGACAGAAGAAGAGCCACCCCAGATATGAGAGCAGTACTCCAAGTTAGGATGAATGAATCCCTTATATACTTGGAGCAACTGCTCAGGAGTGAAGTAGCTGCAGCATCTGTACAGCATTCCCAACTTTCGGGAAGCAGCTTTAGTTATACTAAGGATGTGTGATTTCCAGGACATATTGGAGGAAATGATGAGGCCTAACATATTTATTTCAGAATTTGGGAGGATGATACTAGTTGTCGTCTATTACTATTACTTTTATCCACTTCACCACTGATTGGCTTGTTAGCCACTTGGGCGGTCGGTTATGTCTCTGTTACACACTGTTGGCAAGTATTGGGCATGCACTGCCTCCTGAATATATCAGAACCTACTCCAGAGTTGGTCAAGTCTGGCCTTGAAAGAGCTCACACTTGGTGCTGTCACAACACTCTCTGGCAGATTGTACCTCAAGTTCACAATTCTCACTAAAAAAAAGTTTGCCCTCATGGTTTTCTGGTCTTGTGGCTTCTTCAACCTTGAGCTGTGACCCCTTGTGGGGCGGGAGTCCTCCAGGTACATACATTCCACCGAGTAGTGCCCTCTGAGTTGTTTATACACTTTGAAGTTGGTCATCTATTACTACTGTATTACTGCACTATTAATTTTGGTCACAAACTATATACACTCAACACAGCCAGTCACCACACTTGGAGCCTGGAGTTGCAAGGAGCTACGATTGGCCGATAGTATTTTTCTTGCATAATCATCAGTATGTTCCCATTTATCTACATTTTGCAGTAATATACTGTACTGTATTTTCGTGAATAATGAAATAATACAGGTATGCAGATATTCTAGTATGTTACAAACAAGCATGTTATGGTTGGTTTCTGTTATTCCCTTCTCAAAGCAAACTGTTGAATGACAGTAGCAATTCAGTAATTATGAGAAAATTTTTGACAACCTAAGAATTAAACAAAGGTGGGTACGCGCAACTTTTTTTTGCGCTGCACCCACAACCATTTTTTTAAATTTTGCTACATCCGCAACGCGTAACTTTAAAAAAAAAATAAAATAAATAAATACTAAAATAATTTTTTTTGCCTATTTACAAGTAAAACAAAATATAATTGATACAAAAAAGTTAATATCAATATTTTATTACAAAATTTAAAAAAAATGCCTCACTGCCACTGGTCTCAGTGGACTGGCTGAGACTCGCAACTCTTTGGAAAAATGTTCGGCGCAACTGCACGCGCAACCGAAAAAGTTGCGGCACAATTTGAGCTGCAACTTTTTGTGGCACAACTGCCCACCTTTGCAATTAAAGAAGTGTCTCCGTAATAGAAAAGTAATAGACTATTATCTATTACTTTGCCTATTATTACAATTACAAACAACCAAAATATTTTGATATACAGATACTGTATTACAATTTAAAACCCCATAACAGTCTATTACTATTATGTACTTATTACTATTACCCCATGTCTGACACACACACACGCATCTCAGAGTCCGCTGGTTGACTGCCTGGCTGAACAGTGTTGCATCACCCAGAAAATGGTTTGAGTGTGGAAGGAGCTACTTTTTTTTTTAAATATGTGCTATTGTATTTTATGATATGCTATGCATCAATTTTATTGTTTATCATAACAAGAAATTAGAGCAAACACCTTCCACCAATCAAAAAGCCCGGCATGGTTGGAACAAAGCTGTTACAGCGCTAGTGGTAGCAGACTCGCAAATGAATGATTTCAGTTGCATTTGGATTCCTGGAAGATTCAGATAGTTGGAATTTGGATAAAGGGAGTTGCACTGTATTGACACAGATATGGGCTAGGAAACTCTTAAAAATATGGGTAGTAGGTGTAAGGGGACGGACATGAGGGAGGAGTTAATGTGTGTGTGCATGTTGGGAAAACATGGTATCAAATGATTTTGGGGGATAACTGTGAAATTGGGATGTAGTGAAGTAATGGCCAATGAGTAAACCAGACATTTTGGGACCTTGTTGTGGAAATAAAAACATTAGAGCAGAATATTTTTGGAAGAAAAATTAGAAAGAATGAATGACAAAGTGAGACAAAAGAATGCCTTGTACTTCAATCTGGTTATCCTGTAGTACATGTATCATAGTGAGGAGGAACTTACAAGAGTGAGTAACCAATTCAATAATTCATGAATTATTTAACAGTTCACTTATTACAAAAAAACAAAAATACATGTAAGCTGGTGAGCTACTAAACAGGACAAATTCTCCATTTGTTTTGCCTGTAAACATGACAATACAGCAGACAGGTTTCCAGACTGGTTCTCTAGAATTAAAGGAATTTGTATATGTAAAGAAACATGGAGTGATTAGTCAAAAGTTCCCCAAATCAAACTACCTACAATATATATTCAAAATTTCCAGGTGAACCATAAGAACTCGACAATAATACCTGCAAGGAGGAGTATAAATATATTCACAGAAGCATTTATAACTAATTTACCTTCATTCACAAGCATCTGAGACGAGTCTCGAAGCAGTACTCTTCTTCCAGGGTCATTTTCAAGGCCTAGTTCAAGTCTGTCCACATTCCAATTTCTATCATACTCAATGCGTGAAGCCCATAAATACAAAGTTCCTGACTGCTTAGTGCCTTTTACTGGAACCTGGAATTTGATAAATTTATAGGTACAGGTACCACAAAATTACAATATCCAGCTAACATCACAGTGAGATGTAGAGCAATTGATAATACCACATTAAAATTATATTAGTAGATACGTATAATAATAAATGTGAACCTAAATTAAAGATTTGATAAATCGAATTAAAATCTGAATCCAGTCATACCTACCCTAATACCCATTACATGTTTTACAGTAATATCTCCGTTAGCCGGAACTCTCTTATAGCCGGAATTGAAATTTTCTCGGAAAATCGTTCCCAAAGCCGGAATTTTCCAGAAAATTCCGGGTCTGGAAATGATTTTCCGAGGGTACTTTTTTCCAGAAAATTCAGAGAAAATTTTCCCGATACAGTAATCCCATGTTTATCGCGGGTTTTTTTTATCGCTGTTTTTGACCATTCGTGTTTTTTTTTTACTAAAAAATTTTATGTATATAAAATATCCTTTAAAAACAAAAATTTTAATTTCGTGCCATTTTCGATATTCCCCTGTGCGGTGCGGCAAACAGACGCCACCCTTTCCCGCCTCAGACACCCGCTGCTCCGAAAAGCCTCAGTCCACACGTGCCTCCCGTACTGTGAACGCTACTGTGATTTCCTCTTCTGTTTGTCCTCCCATGTGCATTCCACATGGCTCCAGGACATAAGCCAGCCTCATCAAAGGCAAATATTACTAGCAAAGACTCTAAAGTGGCCAAGAGATCAAGAATAGTGATAACCTTAACAGAAAAAATTGTTTTATTGGACAAGCTCAGAGGTGGTATGAGCTACGGCTCGAGATGTAGAAAAGACTGACAATTTATTTGTGTCTTTTGTCAGAATACAAGTCTTCCAGTGGAGGAATGTGGGTGGAAGAGGACTGGCTGGCTGGCGTGACTGCGTGAGGGCGGGCAGACACCAATAAAAGCAGGGGGAGGCTGGCAATGCGGGTGTTGCCGATCTCAGCGAAATATCCTGTATAATAATTTTTATTTACTTGTTAATAATTTTTTTTTGTATATAACTGTGTTTACGTTTTTCCATTATTATACTACAATATGATTAGTTTCAAATAATGATGTTAGTAAATGCCGGTACAGTGTATCAGTAATCAGTATGACCACTGGGCCGTGAGTGGAGAGCATGGCGTGGTTAAGTGCATGACCTATCTGAGCTGTTCAGTGGCCACAGGTACAGTGATCCCTAAAAGAGTATTCGCGGTTTTGGCTTTTCGGGGGGATTTCCGGAACTTAATTCCCGCAAAAAATACAGGATCACTGTACCCAAAAAATTATGGAAAATACAGAGATGAGGAAGTTTTTCCGGGTTTCAGAGATGAAAATCGGGCATTTTCTGAAAATTCCGAGAAAAATTTTCCAGTACCATGAAAATTCTGGAAAATTCTGGGGATGGGGGATATTTTTCCAGGTTCGAGAGATGATGTAATGGGTACTATCTGGAACTTCCGAGAATATTTTTCCGTTACCCGGAAAATTCCAGGAATGAGGGATTTTTTTCCGGCTTTGAGAGTCGTCTCGTTACCCGGAAATATAAAATTCCCGGAAGTGCTCTGCACCAATTGTTCCGGCTAACGGAGATATCACTCTTTTCTCGAATTAACAAAGTAATTCGAGCCACCCCTTTCCGTTAAATTGAACTTTCCATTATTTTCGCTCAATTTAGTGAACTACTTCACAAAATCGAGCGTGATTCCATTAAATTTCTGCTAAATTAAACTTTCCGTTATTTTTACTCGATTTAGCGAACTACAGTAGTTCACTAAATCAAGCATGATTCCGTTAAATTCCACCCCAAATGCACCGCTTGGTGCATGGGGTTTGTTTACATCTGCTCAGTCTGTGTCCTGCCATCACCATGTGTGTTGTTCACTGCTACCTCTTGGTCTACATCTCAAGTCAATTAACTACTGTGCTTAGACATCACGCTGAAAGTCTCTCAGAAATCTCAGAAAGGAAGTGGTGTGGAGGAGAAAGTTAAAAGAATGCGACTATCAATTGGAAAAAAGTTTGGAAATTATAGAAAAATTGAAAAGCCATGAATAATGTTTTTATGTACATATCGTGTGTCTGAGGTGTCTCCATAGGTGTGAGCGTATTAATGGAATTAATCTTGATTTAGCGAACTAGTTCACTAAATCAAGCGAAAAATAACGGAAAAAATTCCTTCCGCTAAACCAAAAGTTCGTTATATCGGATTCCGTTAAATCAGTAGTATACTGTATTTACTAGAAAAAAATTATTGTTACACACATACAAGGTATACTATAACTAAATCAGCCTTACTTGAAACTGTGCTTCTTTCCCTGTGCAGAAATTATTAACATTATCAGCTAGATCAACTCTTCCATCCTTTATTGGTTCTCCCATTAAATGAGCAATACCTGGAACACAAGAGTTGTCTTTATAAAAGATGGCTGAATTTCATTTAAACAGACATTAGTACAGTAATGCAACATTAAGCAAATGTATGGAAGAAATTTGTGGTTGTATATAGATTTTTACTGTTTTCTTATAGGCAGAAATACAGCCACAGATATTCCAAATAAGAGTAGTACAGTACCGAAGTGATTACAGGCAGGTCCTGCTGAATGAGTAACTGATGAACAAGAATTCAGTTTAACTAGTACAGGCAGTCCCTGAGTTACAAACGCCTGCACTTACAAACGGATCCCAATATATTCATCACAAACACCTGTAACTAAAATCTCATTTTTTACATTACTATACTATCATTATCCTATATTGTTTAACAAATTTATTTACAGTACAACAGTATTTTCTTTATTTCTAAGCCACATTAAAGTATTGTAATGATGTGCACTTGGAGTACGGAATCCCCAGTTTTCCGAATTCTCTCCCAAATTTTTCCCAGGAAATCGAAGATGGCTACACCGAAAATTGCTAAGTGATTGATCATTAAACGAGGGATACCTGTACACACAGTGTGATACACAATGTTCCATTAAAGTTGTTTACCAGATGTTGCACGAAATCTAATTAACTTATCTTGTGCATAATATGAGGGAACTCCGTGTGTAATTACAGTTACTTATATCTCATATGAATACCGCTGGACATCACGTCTTTCATGTAATTGTTTCATTTTATTTTGACATGATTTCTTTCTACTCACTGGTGCAGCTGTGCACCCCTGCCCCTTCTAGCCTCGATCAGATCCCACACAGTTATCCACATTGTCAAAACACGCCGATATCCGACAAAAAGTTATTACAGGCAATAATGTTATATTTGGCAATCTGAGTGTAATACAGCATACAGGTATATACAGTACACAAAGATTGTATACCAACAATTATAGATGATCTGACCATTTTAAAGAGGTTGTGCCAGCCCTTCATACCAGAAGAATTAAAGTGTAAACAAACAAACACACACACACATGCCACATTTAACATAACACCAGCTGATGTACCAACCATGAGTGCTGGCAATTGTTCATTATTTTGCTGCCGGCAACAATGCTAACAGATGGCCAGATACTTATTGTAAGATCATTAGATGCCAGATAAGTATTAATATTTGGTTTAAATCAATTCATAAAGAGTAAAACAACCTATCGTTTACAGGCAGTCCCTAGGTTACAAATGTCCGACTTCTGAACATCCACTAATACGAACGAAATTAAACTTGAAATTTACAGTATTTTATTTACCTGATGACTTATTTTCTACTTTCATTTACTGTACAAGTATTTAGTCATACTATTTCTTATTTTCCCTTAAATTAAGTAATTTTAGATTTATATTAGGACTTAGGCTATGATAAAGTGGGATTTTAATCATTGTTCTATAAGTACACAATGCACATTGCACGTGTTTCAACTTAAGTACATTTTTTACTTCAGAATTTCCCGAGGAACAGAACTCATTCATAAGCTGGAGACTGCCTGTAATACTGTAGTAACATGCAATATAAAGGTTCTAGTAAGGTATGCTGTGATACTTGATAGGCAACTTTAAAAGAAGTTATCATTATTGAGAGGAAAACAGGTCATCCTATAAAAATTCTTATGAACAACCTTACAGTATTTCCTTTACTGGAATTTAGACAACATATTTACTACCCATGAGTTCATGCATGGATCTGATGATCTGATTCTTAAATAGCTCGGAGAAACAAGAACAAAATAAGCTCGTATACTATATTTACCTCTGTGTGATCGAAGAATACTGAGACTTTCCTTATAATATCCAGACTGTTTTATACCATCCTGAATACAGGACTTGAAGTAGAATGCACTGCCAATCACTATAAACCCACCAAGGGCTGCAGTTCGGGCAAGGGTTGATACACTTGGCAAAACAAACATCACACAATGTCCTTGAATAAAAAATATATAAAAAATTATATACAGTATAATATATATATATATATACACATATATATATATATATATATATACACATATATATATATATATATATATATATATATATATATATATATATATATATATATATATATATATATATATATATATATATATATATATATATATATATATATATATATATATATGGTGTCTATAAAGTCTATGTGCAGTTTAAAATGTTAATAACTTCAGTTCTATAGGAGACAAAAACAATCTGTAAAGTGTAATAGAAACAATTTATTCAAGTTAAAAAAAAAAATAATAATATTTATTCTATTTTATTTCTCTTTTTTTTTCTAGATAATCAACCCTACACTGTATGGAAGGGCTTAAAATCGTATTGTGCTTTGTATCCGTAATGATGGTGGATATGTTGAAAATTTAAATCCTAATATATACCTGTATATATAGTACAGTACAGTATACAGTATATATTTTTTAGATATATTACAATGGTAATATTTCCATTTTTATAAAGTTGAGAGTGTAGTTATAATGTTGTGTAAATGGAAAGTAAACTACAAGTGATATCCCAGCTAGCCGAAACAGTTGGTGCAGACTACTTCTGGGAATGAGAGATTTCCGGGTAACGAGACGACGACGACTCGAAGCAAAAAAATTCCTCGTCCCAGGAATTTTCCGGATTTTTACGGGTAACGGAAAAATGTTCTCGGAAGTTCCTGAAATTGCCCATTACATCATCTCTCGAACCCGGAATTTTCCGGTTAACGGAAAAAATTTCTCGGAATTTTCCAGAAAATGTATCCCTTGGAAAATCGTTCCCAAAGCCTGAATTTTAGCAGGAATTTTCTGGAAAATCCCGGCTTTGGGAACGATTTTCCGCAAAAATTTCAATTCTGGCTATTGGAGAGTTCCGGGTTTGAGGGATTCCAGCTAACGGAGATATTACTGTACTGTATTACCAAAATTTCTGTCTGAAAGGAACCAATGAAATAACCAGACCACTTTTTCCTTCTCATGGATTAAGAAAGCATTTATATTCTATGGAGAAGTATCCTCAAGATGTTGGTTCAGGTGCACCACTGTTGTAAAGTACTGTACTGTATTACAAGATCATTTTTTCTTAGAGATGATACTAGATGATGATAACTACTGTATATTATTTTAGGTTTGGTAAGGTTAGGTAAGTTAGGTTGGTTCATTGTATAAATAAATATTCCCAGACCCTGGAAAATGATTCCACAAGTTAATACTAACCTGGCAACTACTAGTCTACACCTACAGCCCCAATAATATAAGAAAAGAAAATACTGACATCTACCAAACCTAACCTACACAGTAATACTTAACAACAGTTGTTCATCTGAACCACAAACTTCAGGACAAATCTCCATAGACAGCACATGTCGATGCTTTTTTTTACCTCGTGAGAAGGTAAAAAAGTGGACGGAAATTTTTTTTATTTATACTGTACAATGTTTATGACTTTTTCTGTCCTGAACACTCCTGTACAATAGAGAGATACGAGTTCTGTTACAAGTAGTTCCATACTTTCAAAATCCTTTATGTATTTAAAATCCTTACGCAGTATAAGGAATATTGAACTCAGTGAGCATATCACTTTCTATAAACTTGTTGGAAAAAAGTTTGGTTAACGTGTAGTTTAATGCTGCCAACGATTCTAGCAAGACCACACTGCTTTTCCAACATAATTTTTGTTGTTAATTGCTAGTGACAGTGTTATCCTTTGGGGAAGTGTTTCTTTCTTATAATTTATACTATAATACTGTCGTGGAGCCATGGGAGGGGGAGTGTGTAGTGCGTGAGTCGTCTGAATCGCATTAACCTGCTATATAATACATGACCCAACTTTGAGAAAATAGTGTTTCCCCAATAGGGGAATATGTTATGTTAAGTTTAATAAGGTTTAAGTTAAATACTGACAACATTATATAACCACTCGGGGGGGGGGTCGATGGGGGTGAAGGCCCCCCCACTGGGGGGTTAGGTTAGGTTTGGTTAAATAAGGAAAACATTAGTTTTTTGTTTTCCCCAGAAAAATACTATCTCCAATAAAATAAAACAGCAAAATTCATGCAGGAAAAAAAAAATTGCTGGCGAAATCGCTTGCAGCACTTAAGTAAGCGTTTACCAAAAGTTTATTAATGGGTTGAAATAGACCCCAATACTGATATTATTACCTAATTGTCTCATTTTGTAATTAATAAGCATGCACAACTTATCTTGATCTCTACCCCACACAATATCAAGTCTGAAGAATCCTATACTGAACTGAAAACCAAAATTCGGAGTAACAGGCCAAGGTCGGTGTTAATTCTTAGTACAGTACAGTATTTTTAATTCTACAAATCTCCTCTGCTCCTGAATTAGCTAACCAACTGTAGGACATTTCACCATAAAAAATTAATGCTTCCTTACCTCATGAAAATGACATACAGAGTGCACAATGAGAATGTTTCCCGTAATATAATTTTCACGAATTTTTCCTTCGTGATTACTGAACTACCCTAGGTGCATCCACGCTGACCACACTTATTGCTTATGTCTGAAACGTCTCAGCTGCCAAGTCTGGAAATGTTCCTTAATAAAATGAACTCATCTAACTTGTCAGACCTAATCTAACCTAGAAAACTTAAACTAACCTAACCTAAGATAATGAAGTTACACTCCTCGCCATTGCATTATGCGCGAGGTGGCCGACGGGAAGTAATCTTTGCTGAAGTGTCTCGCACCTCTCCACGCCAGCCAGCTGGGGGCCGAGGCAGGCATTGTACGTCTGGCAGCGAAGGGATATTCGAGGACAAGTCAGCCAGCAATCAAAAGGTTCACCAGTTGCCAACGTAAATTTTGTGAACGAAGATTTATGAGTTTTACCCCCTCCCATTCCCCCCGTAATTGACCTTATTTATTGCCACAATGCCCGTTGTTTCTTTGTTTTCATTTACCACAATGGGCAAGAGGAAAGATTTGACAAAAGAACAGATAGCGTCAATTATTATTCTGCATAAGGGCAAGAAACCTGTAGAGGAAATGTCAAGAATTATTGTTGTGAGTGAACAATCAGTTCAGATTTGGATTAAACGATTTCGAGATGACGGCGGGTTGGCAATACCAGAGCACAACGGACGACAAGGGAAGGCTCGAAAAACTTCCCAACGCACGTTAACTGTTCTTAAGAGGCAACTTGAGCTTAATCCACGACTGTCAGCACGGAAATTGAAAGAATAAACCCTGTACTTCTAGGTGATGTTTCTGTAACGACCGTTCATCGCTGCATTCATGACGGCCTGCAGTTTCGCAGCCACCACACATGCAAGAAGCCACTCCTCACCCTTGTCCAGAGGCAGCGTAGGGTCGCTTTTGCCAAGGCTAACGCTCAGTTGGATACGACCAAGTGGCAGCACGTGCTGTGGAGTGACGAGGCAACGTTTTCTTTTACTGGAAGTTGTACTTTTATTGTGTACAGGCACCCCGGGAGTGATTCGCTTGACCCCAAGTTCACTTTTAGCACAGTTCAGCATCCTGAGTCACTTATGGTGTGTTGCTTCTCGTACTTTGGAACTGGTGATCTAGTTGTGCTACCTTGGAATCTGATGAACCTGGAGCTGCTTTGTGATTATTTGTCCGGGTCTTTTGAAAAATGCCGCGGTGATGTGTTTATGCAGGATGATACCCCATGTCACACAGCAAAATCTGTAATACAGCAGCTTGTTGACTGTCAGGTGCGTAGACTTCATAAGTGATTGGCCAAGCAATTTGTCTGACCTTAACCCGATAGAAAATAAGTGGAGCATTATCAAGCTTTGTCTACAAGGCAAGGACTTATGTACCATCCCCAAGCTGCAGGCAGCCATTTGTGAGGAGTGGAATAATTTAGACCCACAAATAATCCACAACTTGGCAGAGTCAGTTCCTTCATGCCTGCAGGAGTGTATCAAGAGAAAAGGGAGGCCTATAGACTACTGGAAGTTTGTTAACTTCTCAGATAGTTTTTTTATATTAATATTTCATCTTGTTTATGTCCGTCACGACCCCGCGCATAATGCAATGGCAAAGAGTGTGTTATCTCCTATTATCATGTACGGTACAAGAAAAATATCCCATATGAAAGGGATTATCCACAGTTTGAACATACCAGATAGTGCTACAATACTGTATATGACTTATCATTTATAAAATGAATCAACTTAACCTATCAGATTTAACCTAACTTACAAAACCCAATGTAACCTAACCTAAGATATATTCTATCATCATCTTACAAAAACAAATCCTGTTGGTGGTGAAGTGGTAATGCAAGTTCTCTCACCACTATGTAAGTATTCACCTCAAACATACGTGGGTAGGGTGTCATCCAATGTGACCCTACTAAACATCACATGTTTCCTCTGGGGTACTCTGCTTGATTAAGATCAACCAGTCACAACTCGGTATAGGCCCCCCGCCGTGACCCCCTTGAATTTGAATTTATTTCCAAGATGTCTCCCTTGTGCAATGGCTGTGATGTAGATTACTTCCAAGCAATCGCAAGATGTCACATTGAGTATAATGGTGAGGCATTGAAATTTCTCCTGGAACACAGTGTGCTGCCAACTGAGGTTAAATGTACGAACTGTAACCAGCCCTGTAGCTATCAAGCTGACCAACACCTTTGCTTCTGTGGAAAAATTGCCAACCGGAAGTCAAGAAAACAGAAGTGTAATTATAAAGTGTCGCGCAAGCTCTACCCCTACGCAGTTAGAGGAACAGCAGCCAGTGCGAACTGTGTATGATGACGACCCTGATGACTTCAATTCACAGTCTTCTAAGTCTAATTAAGGTAAACACTACTGATTCCAAAACCTAAAAATCGCTGGATAACCCCAATGCTAATTTTACATAGGTTAGGTTAGCTTTGCTTAGCTTAGCTTACGTTAGGTTAGGTTTGGTGCAATTAGTGGTAGAAATGAAGGTTAGATTCGTTCAAAACATAAAAAAAACATTAGAAATTCAACTTAAAAAAAAACTTTGAAAAAGGTAAGATTTTCGATTTTTTCTCAAATTTATCATGAGCGGGTAAAATGCCATAGAAGAAAAGTGTTTTAGAATGGTCAATTGGTCATAACTACTAATTAAAAATATATATATATATATATATATATATATATATATATATATATATATATATATATATATTTATTTATTTCATGTAGATCCACAATGAAAACATGGATAAGATAAATCTTGATAAAATCACACGGGTAAAGGGAAACAGAGCACCTTAGCTTTCATCTTTATTCAAGACATCTTCAGAGGCAACTGGATTACATGGACAGAGGTTAAAATATATATATATATATATATATATATATATATATATATATATATATATATATATATATATATATATATATATATATATATATATATATATATATATATATATATATATATATATATATATATATAAAGTAAGTTCCGGGAATGGCCACTACGGAATATATACTGATTCTCTACATATTTCTTGTACACTTTTTGGCGCAGAAAGTATTTAACATTTATAGTGAAATGTTCTGATGTTGGTAGTTCACAAGGGGTCACAGCTCAAGGCTGAAGAAACTGCAGATCCAGAAAACTGTGAGGGCAAACTTTTTTGGAGTGAGAGTTGTGAACTCTTGGAACAATCTACCAGAAAGTGTTGTGACAGCACCGAGTGTGAGCTCCTTCAAGACAAGACTTGACCAACACTGGAGCAGGTTCAGGTACATTCAGGAGCCGGTGCATGCCCAGTACTTGCCAACAGTGCGTAACAGAGACGTGACCGATCGCCCAAGCAGCTAACGAGCCGATCAGTGAAGAGGATAAAAGTAAGTAAACGGTAGTTTAAGTGAGGGTCTTTAAAATTACACAGTACTGTACATTTTGTCCACATCTTACCTGGGGTCCTTTTGGCATTTTTTTAATTTCACAAGATGTTTGATTTACTTGAACTCCGACTATGTGGGATAGCTCACGCGTCCATCTTGGTCTTGTGTTTACATCAGCTATAGCTGGCACCAGTCCTCCACCTGAGCCGTGTCAGAGGCCCAGTAACCCTTGTCAAGTTTGTACTTATTGGTTTGATTTCATTTGATTTATTTGGAAAAAATCATATATGCAACCATACCTGAACGTTTGCCGAGGGTAACACATAGAGTATTAAAACATTTATTTCCAATGTGGTCCTCAAGAAGGATTTAAAATGATTAAAAAGTTCACATGATATTTTTCACATAATTATGCCTCTGTCGCACTATTTTGTTTTGCTATGGGATCTCACGAAAAAAAAAGTATATAGGTTTGGTCTGAGGAAGAAGTAACATTATCTACTCAGAAGTAAAGGAAAGTATCAACGTAAGTAACTTGTGTCAAGATCTATTTTGAAGGATGAACTGAGACTGACAAGATCAAATCAATCCTCTAGATTTCTAGTGTATTATCAATATTACAGCCAGCACCGCACTCAGCAGTTAGAAAATCGTGCGGAAAGATCCAGGTAATGAACAAAATCCTTCATGAAAGCGAAATTCTCCAAGATTCTGGAGCCTGGCTTTAGGAGGTGCGGGGCCCAATTGAGAACAATTTTGGTGGGCCCCAGGTTCCCAGCCAAGGTCTGTAGAATCATAGAAATATAAATAAAGTCTGTTATAGACTTTATATCTCTATGGTAGAATGGAAAGTAATCAAAATGTGCGCTTAAAAAGTGCATGCGAGTTAATGAACCAAACAGATCTAAGCTACATTTTAATATAAAATTGCATACATGTGAGCCTACAAGTAACAAACAAAATGTGTAGATCACCTCTGAAAAGTACATAGTTACAATACCACTTGTTTTAGAGACTGTGAAATGATTTATTAAAAATATTAAATTCAGGTACAGCAAAAAAAAAAAAAGTAAAACATAAACAGTATAAATAAACACTACCAACTTTGTAACACTTCATAAAAAATTATAATTGCTGTTCTCTGTAGAACCTGCAATGTGGTGTTACATATATATTGCAATGTGTTGTTTGTACTTGACGAACCGAAAGTAGATTACTCTAGCGCGGGGCCCGCTTAGACAAGGGGCCCAATTGGCCTAACTTTTACTTTTATCCTCTTCACCAAAAGGTCGGCTCGCTAGCCGCCCGGGCGATCGGTCACGTCTCTGTCACACACTGTTGGCAAATACTGGGCATGCACCGGCTCCTGAATGTACCTGAACCCGCTGCCTTTACATTACCAGTTACAATACTTCCCAACAGTTCGTAACTCTACGGAGACATGACCGACCGCCCAAGCGGCTAACAGTGGTGTAAGATTGCTTCTGGCAGACGACTTTCGTTGCTGCAAATCCACCTTGGGGTCTTGAAACAGTAGACCGTACGATCAACTAACAGCTGTGAGTTGATCTTAAGAATATACCTTCCCTCCAAATCACTTTTACTTTTATTCTCTTCACCACTCATCGGCTCGTTAGCCGCTTGGGCTATCGGTCACGCCTCTGTTACTTATATTTATCTTTTATCCTCTTCACCAAATGATCGGCTCCTTAGCCGCTTCGGCGATCGGTCACGTCTCTGTTACGCACTGTTGGCAAGTATTGGGCATGCACCGGCTCCTGAATGTACCTGAACCTGCCCCAGAGTAGGTCAAGTCTGGTCTTGAAAGAGCTCACACTCGGTGCCGTCACAACACTTTCTGCTAGATTGTTGTAAGAGTTCACAACTCTCACTCCGGAAAAGTTTACCCTCACAGTTTTCTGGACTTGCGGCTTCTTCATTCTTGAGCTGTGACCCCTTGTGGGGCGAGCGTCCGCCAGCTCCAAGCAAGGACACTCGACTGAGTAGTGCCCCCTGAGATGCTTATACACCTCAATTAGGTCACCCCTTGCCCGTCTGTAGTATAAGCCAGGCAAGCTCAGGCGCTCCAATCTCTGAGTAGCTGAGGTGCCGAAATGCAGGCACCACTCTGGTGGCCCTCCTTTGAACATTTTCAACCAACTGACAGTCCCTAGCATATTTCGGTGACCAGACGGGGTGACAGTACTCCAGATGGGGAAACACTTCACTCTTACGAGGGACGAACCGTCTAGATATCTGAACGACCTTCTTATGAGACCCAATAATTTATATGCTTGATTTACCTTTTTCTCGCAATGGCACAAGAACTTCAGCTCATTGTCAACATACACACCTAGGTCCTTCTCACATTCAGTCTCAAATAGTGCAGTTTCTTCATCCCGTTGGGACACATGATACGCCTCCTTATCGTTGGTACGCCCCAGGTGCATCCTCTTACAATTCGTGACACTGAATCTCAGCGGCCATTTCTTCGACCATTCTTGGAGCTCACAGAAATCCTTCTTCAGCTCTTCACAGTCCGCATGGTTCTTGATTTCCCGAAATAACTTGGCGTCATCCGCAAACATTTGTATGGAGGAGTGTACTGCGTCAGCCATGTCATTTATGAAACAAACAAACAACAGCGGGCCCAATACACTGCCCTGTGACACCCCGCTCGTGACAGGTACAGATGATGATTTCGTGCCATTAACCACCTCACACTGCTTGAGGTCATGCAGAAAGTCTTCTATCCACGCTAGGACATTTCCCCGAATTCCGTACCCTTCCAGTTTGATTTTCAGCCTTTCATGGGGTATACCTTCAAAAGCCTTGGCAAAATCTCGGTAAATATTGTCGATATTATCACCCCGTTCCAGAATATGGGTCCAAATATCCAATACCTTGAGCAGTTGTGTTAAGCAGGAGCGCCCCAGCTTAAAACCGTGTTGGCAATCCTTTACAAGTTATGTTATTTTGGACTATCACTGGAGATGTATTATTTTCACATAAAAATGCAAAGTCGTTAATGCTGTAGTTGAAGTTATTTTTTATTATGTGTTGCTATTTTAACATTGTTTTTTTATCTGGTGTGGTTTCACCTAAATTGTATGTAATTTCTTAGGCTGAGAAACCAAAAGATGAATGCAGGATTTCCTGACAGGGTAGGAGATGGGGGTGATTAAACCACTTCAATATTTTCCTTGTGGTGTTGTGGGGAACAGGTTGTCTGGGTTCACACTCAGGATGGGATGGAGAAAGGAAACTCACAATGTGCTCTCTGTATACATGTTATATTGGATGTACAATGCAGCTTGGTGCTGGGAAGTGGCAGAGTGGTTACAAGCGTGATGTAGAGAGAGCTGGTTGGTGAGGATGCTCAGAGGAGGACAGCTTGTGGGTCGCCATGCTCGCCGGCGGGAGAGAGGACCGCCAGGCAGGAGTGGAGGAGGTGGTGTAGCTTGCTGCGGCTGTAGCTAGAAGAAGAGAGAGGTCACCATGAGGTCAGGTCTTTTATAGCGGAGGTAGGCGTGGGTAGATAGTTGACTCCCGCTCCGTGGGCGGCGCTGGTTGACCTAGACCACGAGGCATACACTGGGGAATTCGCGGGGTCGGCTACTCGGCGACAAACAGCGTTTGTAGGGGAGAAATCCACTACAATACTCCCTCCTTCCCTCCAGGCGGTGTAGGAGACTTGTTGTCTGCAGGGGTGCATGGCACATGTGAGGCAGAACGGGCGGTGCATGCCACATGTGAGCAATAACGGCGAGGGCGTGGATGAGCCGGCCGCTAGAGGAGACAACTGTCTAGATACAGAGTCGTCAGATGCGCCTGCTGGGGTGTGTGGGCCTGGGTCAGGAGCAGGGGCTGCGTCAGCAGAAGCGGATGAGAGCTCGTGACAGCAGCTGGGTCCACGACAGCAGCAGGGTGCAGGACAGTAGCAGGGAGTACCTGAGGGAGAAAAGAGGGGTGTGTGGGTCCGCACTCAGACGCATGGGCCGCGTCGGGAGCAGGGGCTGCATCAGGAGGAGCGGCAGGGGGTACTGCTGGGCCGGGGGCGGCGTCTGAGGCAGGACGGGTGTGCTGGGGTCGGTAGGACGTGGTGCTTGGGGCAGAAAGAGAAGCGGCTGTCTGCTTAGAGTCGCAGAGCTGCTCTAGGGTGTCTAACCTGCGGTGTAGAGACAGTAGCTGTAGAGCCGATGAGTGCTACTTCTGTGTGGATAAGCCAGTCTTCCATGTTGCTTGAAGACTGAGAAAGTGATCAGTTTCTCCTCCATCCTGTGTGAGTGCGAATCTCCGGGGGTCACCATTTGTGGGGTATGGGTTGTTTGGGTTCTCACTCAGGATGGGATGGAGAAAGGAAACTCACATTGTGCTCTCTGTATACATGTTGTATTGGATGTACAATGCAGCTTGGTGCTGGGAAGGCAACATGGTTACAAGCGTGATGTAGAGAGAGCTGGATGGTGAGGATGCTGAGAGGAGGACAGCTTGTGGGTCGCCATGCTCGCCGGCGGGAGAGAGGACCGCCAGGCAGGAGTGGAGGAGGTGGTGTAGCTTGCTGCGGCTGTAGCTAGAAGAAGAGAGAGGTCACCACGAAGTCAGGTCTTTTATAGCTGAGGTAGGCGTGGGTAGATAGTTGACTCCCGCTCCGTGGGCGGCGCTGGTTGACCTAGACCACGAGGCATACACTGGGGAATTCGCGGGGTTGGCTACTCAGCGACAAACATCGTTTGTAGGGGAGAAATCCACTACAGTGTCACTATCAAGATCAGAGACGTTGCCGAGGACTATTTCCGGTTTGTAAGTTATGTACACTAATACTGACGGCACCGAGTGAGAGCTCTTTCAAAATCAGACTTGACCAACACTGGAGTAAGTTCAATTCAGGAGTCAATACTTGCCAACAGTGCGTATCAGTGACACGACCGCCCGCCCAATCGGCTAGCGAGTCGATCAGTGGCGAAAAGGATAAAAGTAAAAGTAAATTGATATATTAGGTGTTGTAGAACTGTTGTATAAGAACAGGAGAATCGACCCAGAGGACTGTGAGTTCAATATAGAAGGATATGACTCATTTATGAACCTTTCTCAGTCTACTTGCAAGAGGGGTGTGGTTATCTATATACAATGAACTGAAGTAATCGGGCTATTGTGAGGAGGTGAAGCAAGCATAATGTGTTGTCTATGGTAGATCTTGC